ACACACACACACACACACACACACACACACACACACACACACACACACACATTTTTAAAAGGCAGCAGTAGACTGTGACCCTGAGCTTCGCTGAGCACAAAAGGATACAGAGGCTCAGATTTCCTCCAGTTCAAACAGGTGGGGAGACTCCCCTACCTGTGGCTAAGCTTGGCTACAAAGGCCCAGCCCAGGGTGTTCCCAGAGTGAACAAGCTGTCAGGGCCTTTCCCTCCAAATGCATGAGCTGCCGGTGCTTCCTTTCACAGGTACAGAGGAAAGGTAAACAAGGTAATAGGCAAGTAAGGACTTTAAAATATTCAAAACAAACTACAGGACAGAAAGAGTCTGTGGAATTTTTTCTTTGGTTTTCTATTTCCCTCTTCTGCCACCCAGTTTTGCATATCCCCTCCTGGATTCAGAAAACCTGAAAAGGCACAATCTTCAAGAACTCCTTCCACCACTGAAATCAAGTCACTAGAGATGTAGCCTTTACCAACGGAGCACCCCTTCCCCCCTGCTGTGTATGTATGTGTGTAACTGAAGGCAGCCTTGAGATAATGAACTTCCTTGTGCCTTCAACTACCAAGTGCTGAAAACCTAGGCATGTGCCAGCACACCCAGTATATGCAGTACTGAGAGCAGAACCCAAAACGAATGTGTCTTCTTTGCTTGGCTGATTATTTTGGATTTTTTTTTTTTTTTTAAGAGAAGCTAGATATCTTGGTGGGGGGTGGGGATGGTGAGATACTTTGATTTTTAATTCTCAATTAATTTCCCTCTTATTATCTTTAGAAGTAGTCTCAGGTGACCCAAACTGGTCTCAAATTCCTGATCTCCCTGTCTCTACCTCCCCAGTGTGGGGATCACTGGCAGGCACCACCACACCAGGCTCTTGATCAATAACTCAACCCCTGAGAATGCAGCTGACTCAATTCACACAGAGCCATCAGCTTTAGTCTCTGCATTAAAGAGGCACTGACTTCAATAAGGTTCTCCTCAACCTCAAGCCTCTCAATACTTCTGAACCAGGAGACTGCTCTTGCTTCTCATATGGAGTTCTAGTGGGGTTCCTCACCCCAACCCAATAGACTCAGGATCTGTGTGTGTGCAAATGCATCTGGTAACCACCTAGAAGACTGTACCCTGTGCCCAGGACCAGCATTAGCTAGAACATCTGTGACTTCCGCAGGATGCCATAAATTCAAGCCTCTGGGCTTCAAAGGATGTACATATTTCACCCTCTGTGTTGGCACTTTTAAGACCATCCCCCACACTCCTGGAATATCTCTGGGTAATGCTGGAAGCCCACCGGTGGATCCGGGTCCTCTTGGCCAGTGCCCAGGGAAATAGACAACTGACTGGCTTTTCTGTCCCTATGGCCTTTAGCTCCTGGCCTATGGACCCACTGGTGGCTTGTCATAGCTGACTTTGTGCGAAACTGCCTGCCACACTGAGGGCATGGGTAGGGACGCTCACCAGTGTGAGTCCGCCTGTGCGCTGCAATTTCAGAGCCCTGGCGGAAGCAGCGACCACAGTCAGGGCATGAATAAGGCTTTTCACCCGTGTGAATGCGCATGTGGCGCCGAAGATACTTAGAATCGGCAAAGGCTCTGCCACAGTGTGTGCAAGTAAAGGGGGTCAAGCCGCTGTGCACCACCCGCTGGTGCTCATGGAGCCCTGAGGTCCGACTGAAGCGGCGTCCACAATCAGCACAGCAGTAAGGCTTCTCCCCAGTGTGGACACGGAGATGGCTCGTGAGTGCAGAGCGCTGTGTGAAGGTCCGGCCACAGTGAGCACAGCGATGAGGCCGCTCCTCTCGGTGTATGGCCCGGTGCGTGCTCAGGGAAGATGCCCGACCAAAGGACTTGCTGCACTCAGGGCAACGAAATGGTTTCTCACCTGTGTGAGTGTACATGTGCGCCACCAATGTGGACCGCTGGGAAAAACACTTCTCACAGTTAGGACAGCGATGAGGTCGTTCTCC